TTGTAACTACTTACGCATTAAATACAAATTATTGAAAGAACAAAACATGCTTGCCTTCAGTCACTCTCTTTGTAATCACAAAAGTACCACCTTTTGAATAGGTAATAAGAATTAAGACAATGTAGTTCTTGAACTTACATCCTTTAAGCTCTCTTTGTATCCATGTAGTATAGCCTGCCCCACATCTGTATAAACACCACGCATTAGATCTGCAGACAGTCCTTCATTAGCCCTATGATATGAAAAAATATATTATGTGGTCAACAAGGTTTGCTTTATGCAATTTCAAATGCTCTGGTTTCTCCCTACTATTATAATTTTTTTTTTGTTACAATAACATTTTATTGAAAAAAGTCGTAACTACTATAAGCAGTGTACATTTCTCAGAATACATTGCAGGGTAAGTATAAAGTGACATATGATCACAGATTCATCATCAATACACATATTCAGTATGTTATACAGGATAACAAGCTCATACCATGAATCTCAAAGGAAATATCTGTCTTGTATGGAAATGTGCAGATGTGGCAGGGGGAACTGTGTACTACGGCATGCGTGGCAAGCTATCAAAACCTTATGATAAACTGATACACATGGATTCAGTGAAGCGTATGTATCATTCCGTGAAATAAATGTAACAGGGTAAATTTTTGTTCAAAGGAAATAGGTCAGTTACCTAGAAGTAGGAGGTAGGTAGTAAACAGTGGGATGGTGCTGAAAAAGTAGAGGAAGACAAGAGAGAGTAGATAGAGGGCTGACGAGGGAAGAAGGGGTAAGGGGGGAGGGGAGAGGAGAAAAGAAAGAGAAAAAAAAAGTGGGGGGAGGGAATACGGGTAAGAGTAAAGGTAAAGTTAGAGGGTATGTTAAGTAGGGAGTAGAACTAGGGGGGGAGGGTGTTTCGGGAAAGAGAACCAGGGATGGCAAGGAGATTTACAGTCCAGCAAGGTAGGGCCCAACAACGTTAGTACCCCATCAGCTTTAATCTGTTCCAAGACAAATGTGAAGGTACAGGGAATGCACTCAGTGGCCTCTATACTGGCAGGGGGGTCCGTAACAGAGGGGTGTATTAATATAGAAAATGCATTCAGGATGTGGCCTTTGAAAGTTGATGGAACTGGTGAGTTGACTTGAAATGGGTCCAGCATGCCCATATTTTAGAGAATTTCAAAGGGGTATCATTAGCAATGTGTATCAGTTCTTCCATTTCTTCAATCTTACCCAATCTAGCAAGCCATTCAGACAGAGGAGGGTGGGTGGAATTCCAGTAGACTGGTATGCTTAGTTTGGCTGCATATGCATTGCTAGCGATTTACAATACATTTTGGTGGGGATGGAGGAATGGTGTAAGAGAAGTTGTGCTGGGGTGTAGTCCAACATTTATGTGGTCGAGTAATAATATCGTGGACTTCTGACCAGTATGATTGAAATCAGCAGACACGACCACTAGAGGTGTATAAGTGTACCTGGTTCCTTGTTACATCTCCAACATTAGTTCGTTGTCTCCGAGTGGAATCGATGTATCTGCGTGGGGGTTCTAAACCAACGTGACAAGATTTTGTAACAGTTTTCTTGGGTTGTAACTTTAATGTAGCAAAAATGTGTTCCCATTGGTCTCTGGAAAGACCTAGATTGAGATCTCTTTCCCAAGATAGACAAATTTTATTGGAGTGTGGAGAGATATCAGCATAGAGCAGTCCGAGTACTTGAGAAATTACATGGTGTTTTGGCGAGGAACAATAACAGATGGATTCAAAGGGCGTCAATGAGAGAGAAATGGACCGGGAGCCATCTATGGCCTGGAGAATGTTGCAAATTTGAGCATAGGTCCAAAAAGTATATGACGAGCAGTTAATTTGGGAAGAGAGAGTTGCATAGTCAAGGATGCATCCAGCTCAGAAAAACTGAGAGGCTCTGATTTGTGGGTGCGGCCAAGAATTTACCAAGAATTAGTGAGACATTCCAGGAGGGAATTCTGGGTTCAGGCGAATCGGTGTCATAGGTCCCGGCATGGAAGAAAGAGCGACTTTGGACGCCACTTCCCAGACGTTTTAGTGGGACCAAAGTGGGGCCAATAAGAGGATGTTGCTGGAGTGATGTTGGTAACTGTTTGGGGGAGATCCACGGCATTGAGTCTAACGATAGTGACGTTAAGGAGGTCTCGAACTCGACCCAATCCTTCAGACGTGCGTGTACATTCTAGTCTACAATCCTAGCTAGGTGGCAGGCCCTATAATAATTGCACAAATCAGGGAGTTCCAATTCCACCCTTCGATTTGGGCAGGATTAGTTGTGAGTATTGTATTCTCGGATGGCGCGTGGACCACAAAAAGGAAGTACATGCTTGACGGTAAGTAGCAAAGAATATCAGAGGCAATTTGATGGGGATGGTTTGGAGAATATAAAGAAAGTGCGGCAAGATGTTCATTTTTAAAATAGCTGCGCGTCAAAACCAGGAGAAGTGCGATTTGTCCCATTTACGTAAATCACTTTGGATAACACGAAGCATGGGGTAAAGATTTTTAGAATAGAGGTCGCTCAAGGTAGCAGGTATTTGGATGCCCAGGTAGGCGAGGGAATCAGCCACTTAAACGGGAAATTAGTCTGGCATTTGGTAGTTACTATGTGTGTGGCGAGTGAAATGTTAAGTGCATTGGATTTTGTGAAGTTTATCTTGAGGTTAAAGAGTGAAATAGTTTAAAATCTTGCAACAGATTAGAGAAAGTAACAAGTGGCTCTGTGAGGAAAAGGAGAATGTCATCAGCAAAAGACGCTAGCTTATAGGGAAGATTAGAGACAGCGATACCTTTTATATCCTCATTAGCTCTGAGCCGGCATAGCATGGGCTCAAGGGTCACTACGAAGAGTATTGGGGATAATGGGCAGCCCTGTCGCGTTCCATTGAGGACAGAGAAGGCATTTGACAGGTGACCGTTGACACGGATTCTCGCAGTGGGTGTAGTGTAGAGAGACATTATAAAGTTCAACATATTATTACATAATCCTATAGATTGGAGGACGGCTAATATGTAGTCCCAGGCCACCCTGTCGAATGCCTTCTCTGCGTCAAGGGATAGAAAGAACTCCGAATGTTTTGTGGAGTTGGAAGTAAGCCAGTGATGTAGGTTCAATGCCTTAATGGTAATATCCCTGGCTTCCCTACCAAGGACAAATCCCACTTGGTCCTTAGAGATCAAAGCATTTAAGAAGGGGAGAAGGCGATTGTCTAGTATCTTAGCAAATATCTTCAGGTCCACATTTAGTAGAGAGATAGGACGGTAATTGGTAACCGATGTGGCATCCTTGCCATCCTTTAGGATGACCGTGATGTGAGCCTCTACTATGTTTGCAGTTTGGGGAGTAGGAGACATTAGGGAATTGAAAGCTGTTAAATCTTGAGGTGCATGTTGCCGCGTGAAAAGTTTTATAATACGCTGCTGTGAACCCGTCCGGGCCTGGGCTCTTTCCAGATTTGAGTTGTGTGATCGCTAGTAGCAATTCTTCTCCAGATAAAGGTTTTTCTAACTTGGTAGCCAACGAATCTGAAATACGTTTTGGACAATATTGTTGAATAAAATCCCTGATCATGCGCTTTCTAGTAATAGGGGCCATATTCTTATGTGTCTGAGAAGGTAGGTTACATAAGCCCGAATAATAGCTCTCAAACTGGGCTGCTATATCCTCCGTTTTAGAAAAGACTGTACCTTAAGTGTCTCGGATATGGTGTATCGTTAGGTCTGCTTTCTTGGATTGAAGGGCTCTATCCAGATATCTACCACTTTTGTTACCTTGTGTATAGAAGAGTTTGTTGGATAGGACGAATTTGCGTTTTACAGCCTAGTTCTTCTAACAAAAGTGATCTAGCCTGAGTGAGGTTGTGATACGTTTGCTGTGCATGGGAATGTTTATGTGTCAATTCTAGTAGTTTGATTTGGTTTATAAGTTCTAGGGTCCTAGCTTGACACCTTTTTTTAATTGCCGAGGCCATTGCTAAGAGGGTACCTCTGATAACGCATTTGTTGGCCTTGGAGGGAATCTTTGAGAAAGACATAGGCCCTGATTTACTGCATAGGTGCATTTCCGTGGGCTAACGTCTATTTTTCAATTCTACTTTTAGACGGCAAAGACATTTACTAAAGAAAGCTTCAACAATAGACACGAAATTGAATTTACTAACCAGGCCCAATCTAGGAATCAGTCTAAGAAAGCAGACTTGCTAAGAAGCACGTCTAACACAATGCAAAATCACTGCAGAGACATGTTCACATTGAAATTTGTTTTCACAAATATCGGGAAATCACTTTACCCAGTTGCCACCCGGCCAATAGCCCAAAGGCGGCCAGGCGAGCAGCTCGTCCCTCCGGGTGGATGCCATATGGCATCCTTTCAGGCATGGACACTGCACCTGCCCACAGAGCCATGCAGCGGCGCGATCTGTCACCGGCCGTGTACCTCAGACACGGCCGATGACAGATCTGTGTGCCGACCCCGTTGCCAGTACCATGTGACCTGCTGTGACCAATCACAGCAGGTCACGTTACAGTTGTATACAATGGATGGCTTCCTTTCATGCCATCCATTGTAAACAAGTGGGGCTAGCTGTGAATGGTCACAGCGATCACATGCACAAGCTTGGCCAATCACAGCCCAGCTGTGTCATGTGATTAGCTGTGTCCAAATCACAGTTAAGCACAAAAAAAACCCTGAATGAATCGATTTCATTCAAGTAAATGCTTGCTTATAGCAAATAAATTCTTTGCTATAAGAAAATTGTGTAAGAAAAAAAAAATACTGATCACTTCCCCAAAGTAGTACAATGCTACTATGGTAACATTATACTACTTTGGTCATAGTGAAATATGAAAAAAAAAATCTTAAAAAAAGAAAACAATTTATAATAAAAGTTAATAAAAAAATTAAAAATATTTTTTTTTTGCACTGTCACCAGTCAGTGTCCCTGATCACCGCCATGCCAGTTATATGATGACACTGTACTGCACTGTTGACAGTATGTAAAAAAAAAAATTGTGAAAATCATTTTTTTTCATTTCTTCATTCCCGAAAAATGACAAAAAAATTACAACTTCAAAAAACTCGTCATGCCTGTTATGAAATACATTGAACTGTCTACTTTGCAAAAAGGGGTCATTGGGGGGATATCTGTACAGTTCTGACATTCTTGGACCTCAAGAAATTAGATTGGCCGTCAGTACTTCAGGATTGATCAATTTTCAGATATATTCCATAGTTTGCGAACTCTTTCTTACAGACTAAATAATACATCCTAATTTGGGTTATTTTCACCAAAGACATGTAGTAGAATACAATTTGGTCTGAATTTATGAAGAACAATTATTTATTTGCAAACTTTTATAACAGAAACAAAGAAAAACGTATTTTTTTTTTCAAAATTGTTGGTCTTTTTTTGTTAATTGAGCAAAAAATAAAAATCCCAGCGGTGATTAAAAACCACCAAAAGAAAGCTCTAGTTGTGTGAAGAAAATGATAAAATTTTAGTTTGGGTACAATGTTATATGACTGTGCAATTGTCATTCAAAGTGTGAGAGCGCTGAAACCTGAAAATTGGGCTGGGCAGGAGGGGGTAAAATGTGTAAAAAATAGTTTTTTAAAGGAATTCATGACAGTCAAGAACTAGACGCTTTTCCAGCGTCTATGCACGGATATAAATGCGCATGTGCAGAACACATTTTAGCCCATCTGCCGTGGGCGCTTTCTTTTTAGACGCTGTTTAATAGTAAATCTCAGTGTGAAGTCCTCTGACAGATGGCACTGGATTGTGTCTGTGTTTAACAAACAGCACTATTTGTAGCCAGGCATATCGTTATGTATTATAATTTGATTTCCTTAGTTCTATTGATTCTGTTTTTGTTTTTTATCCTTTATAATTATTTCTGTAATGGTTTTACATATTTTGAAGATCTAGATAATATATATTTTGACAGCTGAATCTAAAAATAAAGGTTGGCAATTAAAATTTTTTTTAAAAAAAATGGTGTGGGGTCCCCCCTCCCATCCATACCAATCCCTTCGGGTCTGGTATGGATCTTAAGGGGTAACCCCACACAAAAAAATGTCGTGGGGTCCCCCCCCAAAATCCATACCAGACCCTTATCCGAGCATGCAGCCCGGCAGGTCAGGAAAGGGGAGGGGGGGGGGACGAGCGAGCTTTTTAAATATGTAAGGGGACATCACACATGTGACCCCACCTATCATTGATGTCACCTGGGGCGGGGTCACTTGGATAATGTCCCTGTGTGGCCTCGCCCCTTACATATTTAGGAACTGTCAATCAGGCTCACAGCAGAGGGCTGGGCAGCCATCGTCGGGAACGTTTTTTTTCTTCTTTTTTTGGGTCGCCGGCGGCGAGCTTCGTGATTGACATTGGATCTACTTTGGGGGACACTCTTTTAGATTTTTCTTTTATTAACCTCCCTGGCGGTATGATTAGGTCAGTAATTTTGTACCAAAAGCGGTACCATTTTTTTGCATGGAAATTTGGTGTTATGTATTGTAGGCCTGCAATTCTTAGTAATTACTTACTTAATAAATACTCATAAAAAATAATAATATAATAATAAATTTAATTCAATAATATAATCAAACCAAAAACACTGAAATTTGAAATATAGCGCCAAGTTCGCACATCACTGAGCAAAGTCGCAAAATCGTTTTCAGTGTCTGATGACGAATTTCCCCATGAATCATCACTCAATTCTGCAAGTAGTTCTGATTTACTATCGCTGTTCTCTAGCCGGTCTAAAACCGATTTTGACCTAAAAGGATGCTTTTTGGACGCCGTGGACTTTTCTAAGTTTCCAGGCAGAAAGAACAGTCAAAATGCAGGACACAGGACAAAGAAGTAGGGACAAAATGTATGTGAAATGCTTTGATACAGGAATGTTTTGCTATGAAATAATCATTTTAAAACAAGTCTTTTTTTACATTTTCAAATTTGCCACCGGTTTCGGCGTCCGCACGTCCCGACATCACAGGGACCGGAACACGGAAGCCATATGCTGGCATCGGCCGGAGGAGATGGCCGGGGACGCTGCAGGGGACGCATCGCGGGAGCGAAGGACAAGGTAAGCGCTGTAGGGATTCCCTGTGCAACGCCGCATGGTAAGCCCGAGTGTAGCTCGGGGTTACCACTTTTGGTACTGAAACTTTACCCCGAGCTACACTCGGGAATACCGCCAAGGAGGTTAAAGGACTTGTCAAATACCCTGTCCTGTCTTTTTTTTTACAGTACACTTTTTGTTTTTTTGTGAATTAGTATCGGTACCATGTACCCCATACTCATTCACGTGGGGGGGCAGGATCTGGGGGCCCCCTTGTTAAAGGGGGCTTCCAGATTCTGATAAGCCCCCCACCCGCAGACCCCCACAACCACCGGCCAGGGTTGTGGGGAAGAGGCCCTTGCCCCCATCAGCATGGGGACAAGGTGCTTTGGGGGGAGCCCCCCTGCCCCAAAGCACCCCCCATGTTGAGGGCATGTGGCCTGGTATGGTTCAGGAGGGGGGCGCACGCTCACCCCCCCCTTTCCTGACCTGCCGGGCTGCATGCTCGGATAAGGGTCTGGTATGGATTTTGGGGGGACCCACGCCATTTTTTTTAAAAAATTTTGGCATGGAAGTTCCCCTCTAAATCCATATCTGACCCGAAGGGCTTGGTGTGGATGGGAGGGGGGATCCCATGCCTTTTGTTTTTGTTATGGTGCCGGTATTTAAATGTAATTCTCACTTTTTCTTTCTTCACTATAGCTCAGAAATTCAGCTGTCACTTCCCCCAGCTAAAAGAGAAAGTTTTCTTTGAGTTTATATCCCTAAAGGAAACAATGTTTACTTTTAGTTTATTAAAAGATACAAATTTTCTGTAACTTCGGGGAAAGTGATAGATAAACTTCTGAACTATAGTGAAGAAAAAAAAGGCTAGCAGTGCCGACATACACTTTGTATTGCGAAAAAAATTATTAACAATTGTGTAAACCGAGGCATTATTTTCAATGGATTTTCATTCATAATCCGAAAATTACGTTAAACTAGGTGTTGGTAAACCGAGGAATGCCTGCATTAGTATTGCAATCCTTTGTATTGGGATACATAGAACCAACATACATCTGAATTGGCAACATAGTACAACATTTGTGTCACATTGGAGATATCTGGCTAGTTTCACTGACCTTGCCCTGGGATTTAGGGTTGATTCACACCACAGAAATACAGGCTGGATTAGTGTTCAACAGCTCAGTGGATTAGTGGTTAGCACTACTGCCTCACAGTGCTAGGGTTGTCAGTTTGAATCCCAACCACGGCAATAAAGTTGCATGATCTCCCTGGGTGGTTACCCTAACATAGATGTGCTGGTGGCAGCATCTTTGCTTTCTGTCTAAATGATCCCTAGAATGTGAATTAAAATGAGTCCTTGTCTGTTCAAACACCTTTAAAGCTGCACCATATGTGAAAGTCAAATGATGGGATGAGATAAGGGCCTGGACTAATGATTGATTTGATAATGCTGGTTTGCACTCCGCCCCCTTTTGGGAAGGATTTGTCAAGCCAAGAGCTGTGAGAGAAAGAGAAAAGGATTTTTAAAAAAAATTAATAAAATAATGGCATGGAGTCCCCCTCCAAATCCATAGCAGACCCTTATCCGAGCACGCAGATACCGTATGCCTTCAAAGATTTATTTCCTTTGTTAAATTGCCTGCTTGGTTCACACTAGATGCAATTAAATATTGTGCTTTTTGTTGGCAATTTCACCGTGTTTTCTATAGATTTACCAATGAGTTATTGCGTTTTCAATTGTGCTTTTGCATTGCGATTTCTATTGTAGTCAATATGTGAAATCGCTACAAAATCTAGAAAAAGTTAGACAAGATCTACTTTTGAAATTGTGCTTCAGTAAATCGGTTATGTTAAGACACTCACATCCACATTCATTAGATACAATATCAGGTACAATTTCAATTCCCAAATCGCACCTGAAATCGCACACCCTGGATGCGACTTGGCATGCAATTTGCATGCCCTGCGACTAGCAAAATGCATGCCAAATTGCACCCGATGTGACCGGGGGCTAACACCACAGTCACATCTAATCCGATTTGGAAAGTGGGCAACTTACAGTGAAGTCGCACAATTTTAAAATCAGATTGGATGTGAATGGAGCCTATAGTGGACAATAGGGTGTGACTTGGCCTACAATTTGCAAGTCGCCTGGCATGCAAATCGCTTGCCAAATTGCACCTGATGTGACTGGGGGCAACCCCGGTCACATCAAAGCAGATTTTGAAGTGGTGCGACTTACACTACGGTCACATCATGTGACTTACAGTGACGTTGCATGATTTCAAAGTAGGGGGACATGCTGATTTAAAGTGCAATTTGCAAGATATCTGACACAGATCTCTCTGCAAATCGCATGAAAAGTAGTGTATTCAATACTTTAGAAATTGTTGCGGCTCCAACCAAGTTTGAACCACACCAATATGAACATTCTAATAGTGGTCACATTGAGTGTGACTTGGCATGTGATTTGCATAGCATACGACTAGCAAATCGTATGCCAAGTCGCACCCTATTGTCTGCTATTAGAGCGGTCACATGGGTGCGTTTCCGACACTGATTTCTAAAGTAGTACATGTATTACTTTTGTGGCGATTTGCATTGATATCTGTCAGATGTCTTGCAAATCGCAAGGAAATCGGCATCTTCACTAAGTCTCACAATTTCTAAATCGGCTTTGATGTGACCGGGGTGTAAGGCCTTTTTATGTTTGATTTCCTGAGTGTTTTTCCGATTTATGGGAAATCCCACATACTAGCAAAAGTGAATTGACATTTTCAGTATTGCATGCGAGATGTGGTCATGTGACAGCCTTAACTCATGCGATAATCTGGAGTGAATTGTGCCCATAGTGCCAATAAATATTGCCATGGGGTTCCCCTTCACATCCCTGTTCAATGTTCTGTTGTATGCTGCACAGGTACTGTCAGGGATCCGGGTATGACCAGAAATGTGTGGACTGACACAGGGAAGTAACAGGCTTCAGGAATGATATAACAACAATACAATTTATTATTAGCCACCCAAATATACAACGCACAGTAAACAAACCAACCTTCCACTAATCTTAGTATGTGCAGGAACACAGGCGTAGTCAGGGCTGGAGAGGTGGAATGGTCAGGCCGGCCATATGGTTCTGTTAACGACCGTCTGGTGGTACCTCTAGCAGTCCTCAGGACAGGATTCCCCAGGGTGCGGAGTCTAAGTCCCAGTCTGCTTATTCACCAGGGCCCCTGATGGTGGGAAGGGACTTGGAGCAGACAGGAACCAGGTCGCGGCCCCTGAGTACACCTGCTCGTGGTAGAGGGATCCGCCAGAGGTATATACTGATGTGAAGAGGCAGAAGGTGTGAGCAGGGATGGCTGGATCTGTGCAGGATGGATGGATGGTTCGTCTGGGTAGCGTAAGGCATAGTCAGGCAGGCCAGGTCAGCAATGTGTGGGCACCGAGGTACCGAAGGAGCAGGCAGAGAATGGTCAGGGTCACAAGCCGGGTTCAGTAACTCACAGGCAGCACGGTACAGAGGGTCAGGCAGAAGGATGGTCAGGCAAGCCAGGGGTTAAACAGTAGACAGTCAGCAACAATGCAGAGGTCGGCAACAGAAGATAGGCAGAGGAACAGGAACACAGGATACCAGGTACAGGGGCTCATGGGAAACAATACACCAAGGCACTGACTGCAGGTCTGGCCATTCCTTAAATACACCTCTTGCAATCAGCCTCAGGTGATGGCTGATTGCAGGAGTGAGCTTCTGGTTGCTGAGAGCACCCGCTGGCCAGCCCTGGTACTGCAGCCCAAACGGCAGGTGAGTCCCACCACCAGTGGTGAATCCATTCCTGACAGGTACACTTCTCTGTGGCTTTCTTTGTTACTCTGATTTGTGGGGCCTGTATACCAAGGGTTAACGCAAGTGGGAAGATGATTCATCAGGTGCAAACACTTTCTCTGACCAAATGAATTAAAGTGGTGGGTGTGGCCTATGTTATATAAAAAGTTGCAGCAGTGGGTGATTTTGACTTGGAAGAGGCCAGGTTATTGCCTGTGGTGGTTTGGGGAGGAAGAGATATTGTGGTGAATTGCCCCAGACCACAATCACGCTGTGTTTTGATGTGGGCTGTAAATGTTTTGCATTTTTTTCCTTCTAAAGTGTGTTTGTGTGTTATTATACGATTGTGTGTTTATTAACTTTGCAATGTGATCCTAACACATGTCAATTGCTCTGCTCTTCCAAATCTTCACTTGGCTATAGTTTGCTTGCTTATTTAGACTGAAATGCAGTTTTCGGACAAACCCAATGAGAAATGTATATGTGGGGGATTTGGAGAGGTGGGAGGTGTTTTATTTTGGCACATATGTATTTTTATATTGATATTTTGATCTGCAGCCTGTTTTTATGGATAAGCCTACTCAGTGATTCATATTGACCATTTGTTTCCTGCTGTAACCTGTGAAAGCGCAGTTCATTCGAAGTATAATCTTTTAGATTGTAAGCTCTTATGAGCAGGACCATTCTATTTTAGCAACATCAATCCTGCTTTTTTTTTCCCCACCAAGAAATTGACTACCTATTTGTTGCTGCTGTCCAAATAAATGTGGAATATGCATTTGATCAATAAACGTTTGGACTATGTATATTTTTGGGGGGGTTATTTCATGTTCAAGTTCAATATACTAGCACCCCTAACACTTATATTTTGCGAGCTATATAATATGCTCAAATCTAGCTTGTTAGAGTGCACATATGCAAGTATGTCCAAACTAACAAACCAAAAGTCCCCTATTGTACCACAAGACCATGTTATGTACCAATGAATAGGTCGTGTTCAGTGTGCAGCTAGCTATTCTTTTTCTACAATCCTCTTAACAGTAATAAATTAGGTCCCCAATTTGTTGACTTTGGGCCTTTACCGGCAAACCTATATTTGCCAATGCCAAATACAAAATAGAGCTACAAACATATATTCGCCAATGCCAAATACACAGTAGAGCTGCAAACATATATTCGCCAATGTCATATACACAGTAGAGCTGCAAACATATATTCACCAATGTCATATACACAGTAGAGCTGCAAACATATATTCACAAATGTCATATAC